CCACTCGGAAATCTCCAAGCTGTCTGTGCTGTCAGGATCGCTCATAACAGCTGCCAGACCGCAGCTCTGTCTGTCTCCTTTTTTGGTATTTTGATGCAAATTCTTCTGCTAGTTGGGGTTTAGTCCACTTCTATATCTTTCCCTTCAAGGCTTATGGGTCCAGGATTATCTTCTGTGTCTGTATTAATTGGTTTTCCTTTTCTTTGTTGAAGACGGTCTATGCAGTCTTTCTGCCTAGTCCTCCATCTTGCCGGAACTCCTCATCTCTGGTTAAAGCATTTTGCTGCTGAACAAAAGGTTGTTGGTTTGAACCCACCAGCTGTTCAATGAGAGAAAGATACAGCAGTCTCCTTCCATAAAGATTTATGGAAACCCTGCAGGGCAATTTTACTCTGTCCAGCAGGGCTGCTATGAATCAGAATTTACTCCACAGAAGTGGGTTTTGGGTTAGAGTGATCTGATAGGGACAATCTCATCTCTTCATGCTTTCCATAATTTCTGTCTTTTTGTAGTTTCTTATTTTTCTTAATCTGAATTTTTGATCAATAAAATTCTTTCTTTCACACAATAACCTAAATATTTCTAAAGTTTATCAAAATAATTTTAAAATGTAAAAAATGGACATATCGAAAAAAAGGAAAAAGCCCTGAACTAAGTAAATTATTTTATAGACAACACAGTTACAAGATTTTAGAATACCATTCCATTGATGAGTTTAAAATTGATAATAACATAAATTGTGCTTAAAAATCAAGGTCACCAGTTAGGAGGAGATAGTTTAGTTTTGAGAATCAAGTTGCTGGCATTTTGGACTAGTGTGATAGCAGAAGAGATGGAGAGAAATGGACAGATTTGGGATTTATTTTGAAGTGGACTTTGTAGTGGATGGAATGAAAAGGGAAGGGGAGTGACCATGACAAAGAACTGATTTACATAGTATTACTATTTTCTGAGGAGCTCTGGTAGCGTAGTGCCTAAGGCACTTGACTGCTAACCAGAAGGCTGGCGGTTTAAACCCACTGGCCACTCCTAGGAAGGAAGATGGGGCAATCTACTTACGTAATGATATTGCCTCGGAAACCCAAGGAGGGGTAACTATGAGTCGGGTCCGACTTGACGGCACATAAAATAAATAAAATAAATAAATAAACTGTTTTCTGAGGAGCTCTGGTGGCGTAGTGCCTAAGGCATGTGACTGCTAACTAGAAGGCTGGCAGTTCAAACCCACAAACTGCTCCTTGGAAGAAAGGCTGGGCAATCTTCTTCTGTAGTGATACCGCCTTGGAAACCCAAGGAGGGGTTGCTATGAGTTGGATCCGACTCAACGACAATGTGTTTGTTTGTTACTATTTTCTGAGGTAGGCATGATTAGAGAAGGAACTGTTTCATTTAGTTTCAGGGGAGTATGAAATCAAGAGTCATATTTTGAACATTTTGAGTTTGAAGCACCTAAGTGAATATGCCTAATGGGCAATTGAATAAATGAATATGAAGGTGAAGGGTTGGAGACAACAGTTTGGGAGTTATTATAATATATTATTAATTTTTAAAATTATGACCTTTGCTGAGATCATTATATTGAGAGTAGAGAGAGTGAGGAGGGCCTGTGACCAGTGCTGTGGCTTCCAGCAGTTAGAGGTGGGGTAGATTAGAAGGCATCTGACGAGGAGAGTTCTCTTTGTCAGTCATACTGCATTCATAGACATTGTTTTGATAGAAGTTGCAGATACTCAAAATATTGTTCTTTGTAGATGGTTTTTCAACTAAATATTTGGCATATCTTTTATAAGGTCTGTATTAGTTTTCTAGGGTTGCTGTAACAACTTATCACAAATATGGTGGTCCAAAAAACTGGAAGGTATTCTCTTAGAGTTCTAAAAGCTGGAAGTCCAAAATCAAGTTATTGACAGGGCCATAATGCCTCTGAAGGCCCTAGGGAAGAATTCTTCCTTGCCTCTTCAAAGCTTCTGGTAGCTACTGATACTCCTTATTGTTTCCTGACTTGTAGGTGTACCACTCCAGTCAATACTTTGTCTTCACATGGCCTTTTTGCCTCTATGTCTGTCTCTGTGGCCTCTTCTCTTCTTACAAGGACACCAGTCATTGGATTTAATTCCCAGCCCAATCCAATATGATATTGTCTTTAACTAATTACATCTTCAAAGATCCTGTTTTCAAATAAAGTCACATTCTAAGGTTGCAGATGGGCATGAATTTTGGGAGGCACTGTTCAAGCTGGTGCAGGTTCTAAGCACCTTCTGACTGGTGCTGAGTGAGAGAGTTCTGATACAATGACAAAATGAGAGATCGGATTATCAGTAGATCATTAAGTTGTGATGTGATCCCCCCCACACACACACGTCTTCAGGACCTTGGCTTGTTGGATATGAGGCTAGCTTCCTGCTCAGAGTGAGAGTTTGCCAGGCGCTCTCATTAACAGTCATGCCCACTGGCCTTCATCTCACAGTTTCCTGGCTTTTTCTCAAGTCCATTGTTCAAGACGCTTTATTTTTAAAACTTATGATCAATAAGGAGAGGGAAAAAAAAAGGAATTCAAGGTCAATCTTACTGTTTGATGTCAGGGATGTCAGTGACAGTATAAGGCAGAAAATGAAAGCCTGTTTTATAAATTCTGTATAGACATTCAAGACAGTGAAATGGGGACTGGCATAGACATAGCTAATTGCAGCTTCTACCTAGTGTAGTACTGTCATACCTCATATATTTTTTGCATGCATGCTCCTTGCAGTTCCCCAGAAACTAAACTATAAAATGAAAGACAGTTATTAGGTATCTACTATATCCCAAATAGAATGCTAAGTACTTTTACATTGTGGTCTTATTTTGACCTTCCAACAATCTTGAGAGGGAAATATATTGAGCCCACTTGAATATGTCAGAAAATTGAAGTTTTGGTTATTGGTGTTTTAGAAAGGAATAAGAAGAAAGGATACTCATCAAAAGTTATGTACAAACTAGGATCCTACAGCCAATTTATTACTTTTATAAGATTAAAATTTACCTAAATATGCTTAAAAGGAGATGGAAATAAGGGTATTTATTTGAGATATAATGGTGTGTTTTAATTGTCCATTTAAAAAATGTATTTTATCTCTTACATTTTAGCAAAATATTCCCATGCTGTGTTGATGGTGATCTTATTTTTTTCCCCTTCTTTTTTTTTTTGGTTTCAGAGGAAGAACTTGTCTCTTTTCCTCAGCATTAGTTTGTTAACTTTCTGGGGCTCCTCCCTTTTGGGTGCCCGTTTATACTGGATGGGAAACAAACCACCGAGCTTTTCCAACTCTGACAACCCAGCTGCTGATTCGGATAGCCTCCTGGCACGCACGCTCACCTTCTTCTACTTGCCATCTAAGAACCTCTGGCTGTTGCTATGCCCAGATACCCTCAGTTTTGATTGGTCAATGGATGCTGTGCCTCTGCTCAAAACAATTTGTGATTGGAGAAACCTACACACTGTGGCCTTCTATACTGGACTCCTCCTCCTTGCCTACTATGGTTTGAAGAGCCCAACAATAGAAAGAGAATGCAGTGCGAAAGTTGTAACAAATGGCAAGCAGAATGCAAATGGACATAGCTGCCATTCAGATGTGGAGTACCGGAACTCAGAGATTAAGTCCAGCTTTGCATCCAAAGTAGAAAATGGCATTAAAAGTAATGTATCAGAAAGAACACAACTTCCTTCTACAGAGAACATTGTTGTTCTGTCTTTATCTTTGTTAATAATACCTTTTGTTCCTGCCACAAACTTGTTTTTCTATGTCGGCTTTGTAATTGCAGAGCGAGTATTGTATATTCCTAGTATGGGCTTCTGCCTTCTGATTACAGTGGGTGCCAGAGCCCTTTATGTCAAAGTCCAAAAGCGCTTTCTCAAGAGCTTGATTTTTTATGCTACAGCTACATTAATTGTTTTCTATGGACTCAAGACTGCGATCAGGAATGGAGATTGGCAGAATGAGGAAATGCTGTATAGGTCAGGGATAAAAGTAAACCCAGCTAAAGGTAATATTTTATTTTATGCTACTGACTTCACAGCTTACTTTTTGTCTTTTTGAATCTTTGCCTCTCACCTTAAAAACAATACTAAGGAAGAAAACGTCGTTTTAATGCACTGTCTGTATCTTTCTTTTTTATTTTTTAAGAGATGAACAGTGAAACTGGTTTAGAGACATATGGAGCATTTCATATTTGGGTTGATTTTGACTCATGCTAACCCAATAGGACAGAATAGAATGACTTCCTAGAGTTTTCAAGGCTGTCACTTTTAAAGAAGCAGACGGTCATCTGGAAGTAGTTGGTGGGTTTGAACTGCCAACCTTTTGGTGGACAGCCAAGTGCTTACTGTGGAAACAAGATTCCTTATATTTAAAATAAATAATTTCCTATGCTCCTGGCTACATTAGTCTATAGGACGTAGAATTTCTGTTATGTGGAAATAATGACTCTCATATGAATTTAGAAAATATGTGTAATTTTCACATTTCAAAATAAGATATAGACATCTCTTTCATCATATTGTAGAAGTCAAGCTGTTTCACTCAGGTATTGTTTAGCTCTTCTGTTTTCTAAGCGCATCACTCAAGGAAATATTTTCAGACTTACAATGACATCTTTAAAAGATTTGGAGGTAAGGCTACCTCTCTGAATCTTGGAATTGTGTCTGTAGGTGTCAGTATGTACACATGCAGGTGTTAGTCTTATTTAAGTGTTCTTAAATTACTTAGCAAAATTAGTGTTTTATTATTCACTGAAAAGATAAGTCATATATTTGGTATATATATATTTTTTAATTTATATAACTGTTTTAGCAAATCTCAGTATCTATAGCCATAGTAGAAGGTATTCACTTTTAAAGCACAAGTGAATAATTAAAATCTGTTACAGTGGATTACCCTGGTTTTGGCAGTTAAATGATGATGGAAGTTGGGGAGCAATTGAGTGAAAATAAGTTTACAGTTTTAGTACAGAAATATGTCATAGTGAATAGTGCCAAGTAATCTTGTTCTGCATGAGCCCTTTTTTAGTTATTTAACCTGTAAATTAAGGTTGCTTCTATGGCATTTGAACTGGGCCTTTTCTCCAAAGATCTAGACACCCCACGAACAACTTTGCCAGTGGTATCTCTATGGAAGTAGATTACCCAATCTTCCTTTCGAGGAGTGGCTGGTAGGTTTGAACTGCCAGCCTTCTGGTTAGCAGTCAGATGCCTTAGGCGCCATGCCACCATAGCTCCTTCTTGTCCGATTGGCACAGATTAAGTTAAGAGTTTAGAGAGCAACTATACATTTTATTTTTAAGACAGAGAACTAATTTTTGCTCCTCACAATGCTTGATAGATTGCAGGAATCTTGAGGGGAATAGAAGCATTAAATTGAGCTAATGCATACAATTCCTCAATGCTCTTTGAAAACTCATGACCGCGTAGATTTACTAGGTAGTGAGTACTGCTCAGTTTATTGAATGCCTGACCCAAATCTTGCTGTAAAAATTGTGGCAATCAGAAGGATTTTCAGCTAGTGTTTCCTCACTGGTAAAGGTAAGTATATATAACAAGGCTATACTACCTTTTTATTTTCTTTCTGTTTAAAAACATATACTTGTTAAGAAATGAGAACAAAACAGAAAAACCCCAGCCTATTATCTGCTTCAGTGTTTTTTCTGAGGATTTATTAAATTTATTGGTTGGGTTTAAGTTTATGCTACTGTAACAAAGAGCCAAGATAACAGTGGCTTAAATTAAGACAGAAGCTTTATTTTTTTTTCCATGTAGCAATCTAAGTTTGTGCAGCCCCCGGCTGATAACATGGCGCCATGTTTTTTTGATCTTCATTCCTTCCCCTTCTCTTTTGTTCCTTTGCCATTTCTGGAGTGTCACTGTGTCCATATGGTTCAAGATGGCACTTTATTGTATCAGCACTTCAGCTAACAGGAAGAGAGGGAAAAAAGGAAAATCGTAGGTGTGCCTATCCTCTTTAGAGCTTTTCACAGAAGCTGCACACACTCCATTTGTTTACATATCATTGGCCACACCTAGCTTCAAGGAAGGAGCTCTGGTGGCCTAGTGCCTAAGGCATCTGACTGCTAATCAGAAGCTTGGCGGTTCAAACCCACCAGCAACTCCTCGAAAGGAAGGTTGGGCAATCTACTTCTGTAGTGATACTGCCTCGGAAACCTAAGGAGGGGTCAACTATGAGTTGGGTCCAACTCGATGGCACATAACAATAACAACAACAAGCTTCAAGGAAATCTGGGAAATGTTACCTTTATTCTTGGAAGCTAAGTGCCCTGCTAGATTTTACTGCTCTGAATGAAGGGGGAGGGCACCTACTCAGATGTTAGGGGACAAGTAGTAGTCTCTGCTCCAGAGTAGGTGAAATCATTGTGTAAATGCTAGGTATTTCCTAGCATTATTATTGTCGTTAGCTACTGCTGAGTCGACTCCTGACTCATGATGATTCCATGCTTAAGGACTGAAATGCTGTCTGGTCATTCGATCAGTTGCAGATTGGACTGTTGGGATCCCTAGAGTTTTCATTGACTGGTTTTCAGATATTGATCGTCAAGTCTTTCATCCTAGTCTGTCTTCATCAGGAAGCTCCTCTGAACCATGTTCAGTATCAGAGCAACACACATGCCTTCACTGAGAAATGAGTGGGGGGTGCATGTGAGGTGCATTAGTTGTGAATGAAACCTGGGTCTGCCACACGGAAGACAAGAATTCTACCACTCACCCACTGCTGCTCTCTTTCCAGCTTTAGCTACTACTGTTACTACCGTTAGTAACAGTTTTTATTATAATTCTGATTAAGTTATTTTGGTGATATGGTTAAAATGTTAAATTGTTTCCTTGGAGTATAACATATTTCTACATTTCTTTTCTAATACTTAAGGAGCTCTGGTGGCATAGTGCCTAAGGCATTTCACTGCTAACCAGAAGGTTGGCAGTTCAGACCCACCAGCCACTCCATGGAAGGAAGACTAGGCAATCTATTTCCATAAAGATTTACCACCTCAGAAACCCTAAAGGAGTCACTATTAGTCACTATTAGGAATTCACTCAACGACAGTGAGGATTTTTTTTTTTTCTTTTTTTGTTTTCTAATGCTTAACAAGGAGCTCTGGTAGCATAGTGGCTAAGGCACTTGACTGCTAACCAGAAGGCTGGCGGTTCAAACCCACCAGCCACTCCTCGGAAGGAAGGTTGGGCAATCCTACTTCCGTAGTGATACTGCCTCGGAAACCCAAGGAGGGGTCGCTATGAGTCAGGGCTGACTCGACGGCACACAACAACAACAACAACAATGCTTAACAAGTGCTATATGACAGGTTGTTGTTGTTAGGTGCTGTGAGTCAGCTCTGACTCATAGCAACCCCATGTACAACAGAACTTAACACTGCGTGGTCCTGTGCCAGCCTCACAATCCATGCTATACCTGAGCCCATTGTTCAGCCACTGTGTCAATCCATCTCATTGAGGGCCTTCCCCTTTTTTGTTGACCCTCCACTTTACCAAGCATGGTATCCTTGAGGGAATGGTCCTTTCTGACAACATGACCAATAAGTCTGGCCATTGTTGCTTCCAAGGAGCATTCTAGCTACACTTCCTCCAGGACAGATTTCTTAGTTCTTCTGTCAGCCCATGGTACTTTGAGTATTATTTGCCAACACCACATCTCAAAAGCATCACCTCTTCTTCGGTCTTCCTTAATCATCGTGCAGCTTTCACATGCATGTGAGACTACTGAAAATACCATGGCTTGGGTTAGACTTGGGCTAGTCTTCAGAGACATCTTTGCTCTTCAGCACTTTAAAGAGGTTTTTTGCAGTAGATTTACCTAGTGTAGTATGATGTTTGATTTCTTGACTGCTGTTTCTATTGGTGTTACTTGTGGAACCAGGAAATACGAAATCTTTGACAACTTAAATCTTTTCTCCATTTATTGTGATGCTGCTTACTGGTCCAATTGGAAGGATTTTCATTTTCTTTATGTTGAAGTATAATCCGTACTGCAGACTGTAGTCTTTAATCTTCATCAGTAAGTGCTTTGAATCATCTTTACTTTCAGCAGGCATACTCTGAAATAGTCATTCAATGACTAATTGCTATTATAAGTATTCTGAGACATCAACAACATTTGAATTCCTAAAAAAACTTACCTCCTCCTCCCTTCCCCCATCTAATGAACTGCTGTACTTGCAGCCTTCTCAGCTGATGGTAACTTGGGGGCATCTGTATCTCATTTGTTTCTTTCCCACACTACATCCATCCTGCAAAACACATCCTGAACTTGACCAGTTTTTAACCACTTTAACTGCTACCACCATAGTCCTAGCTACCATCATTTTTCATGTCGATTATTTATTACTAAAATCTTCATCCCTGAGCTCTCTGTTCTATTTTCTTCCCCTTTAGTATGCCTTGTAATTTCTGGTTGAAATCTGGACATGCTATATTGACTAAGGGGAAGTGAGATAAATAGACCTTTAGCATATGAGATGTTATGTTAATCTGGCTAGGAATTGTACTCTAGATCCCAGAGTCTTCAAATCCCTCTAATGTCCTTCTTTTTGTCTCCCCTGTTGGTTTTGGGCTTCTCTAAGATCTCTTATAAACTTAACGTTTTACAACTTTTTCACCTATAATAAACTCCTATAATACAGGAGCCTTGTTGGTTGGTATGGTGGTAAAGTGTGGGAGAGGGAAACTTTATATAATTTTACCATTAAATCTCAGACTTTAATGAGTCTGTGTCTGGGCTGTGACCTCTGCAAATGTTTCTTAGTGCTCGCTGCACTTCCCCACACCCCCCAGGTGACAGAAGAAGGCTAAAAAATCCAAATTTGTTGGTGACTTACAGCTTAAAAAACCAAAACCAAACTCATTGCCATTGAGTCAGTTCCGACTCATAACAACCCCCATTGGGTTTCCAAGGTGATAAATCTTTGGAAATAGGGTAACATAGTGCCTAAGGCACTTGACTGCTAACCACAATGCTGGTGGT